GCAACCTCATCAGTCTCTCAAGGACTTCATGCACAATTTCAATGACTGGGACCAATGGTTACAGAATCATTCTGTTGATGAAGCACCATGCCCTTGTACTTACTATGCCAAACTACTGCCGGAAAAGTGCCTCACTCGAGGCCATGTTGTAGCAGGCATAGAACAACTTGGCAGTCTTCACCGCTCCTTTGAAAAACTAGGGAGTGGTAGTGCATCTTCAGCCTTTTTTCTTCCAAAAGAGAATTTTTCAATCACAACACCCGTCTGTTTCCATCTTGGCGGCGCAAGCATTGTCTTCCCAAGGGTGTTGATATAGCTTTTCAGCAATTTCTCGAGCAACAATGGAGCAAACACCTCGATCACCTGGGCCAAGAAAATCGGCTCACATGGAGAGTGTGTCTGTGTGTTTGTGTTTGTGTCTGTGTTGTCTGTGTGTGTGTGTGTGTTTGTTTCTGTGTGTGTGGGGGGGCGGTAAATGTACGTATGCCTGCTGGTACTGTTTGTTGATTATCACCCTTTTTTTGTTTGCAGTTGGGTCTGCAATGCCTTTCTTGATCTTGTAAAATTTCTTAAGGTGTTCGCTGTCCTGCAATGCTACATGCAGGCCTGTACCTGCTGCTGCACAATGACTATACGTACCTGGTGCATCTCTCGTTCTATTCGTCCTTCCTGAGGGTTGGCCGCTGAGGCCCAGAGTCTCCAAAGTAGTTTGTAGTTGCTGACACCTGTCCTTGCTGATGTGAGCCCTTGGTGCTGAAGCAAAGCAACCTCTGCGGAGCCAGGAACAGAACCACAGCTTTCAAGGGTAGCCTAGCCTAAAGTTGAGCTCCACCGGTATCCCAAGCGCCTTGAAGGAGATTGAGGAAACGCAGTTCGGGATTCCTGTGCCAAGTCAGGGCCTCAAACGGGCGGCCAAAACGGCTTGCACAGGGGTGGGGTTGGTGGTTCAGCCTTTGTGCGAGGGGGTTTGGAGATTTGTGCAGGACCGGACCACGGATCCAGGATCTTTGGGCATAGAATTGTTTATTTACTAGCGTTTCGGGCGTCTGGCGTACAAAAAAAGAAGGTGGGGCTGCAAGGTCAAGAATTGTTTGTTTCTGAAGCTTTCGTTCTCAACAAACTGGTGGTCGGAGCGCGAACCAGAGGTCGGCAGGCCGAGGACAGCTCTGCGATGCCCAAGTCCAAAGCATCAAATTGCCAAGCTAGACACCGGCATCACCAACCCACATTTGTGGTATTTACCGTACCGGCTCAGACTCCAAACCGGCATGGACCGTAACTGCCGACCGTGTAGTCATGGCCCTACCCCATGCCTGAAAATAGAGAAAAGCACCGATCAGCTCCGGAACATCAGGAAAGCCGGAGAGCCGAAGATTACTCGCGGCCGTGGCATCACTACCCTACACCCTGAACTCTCGATAGCAACTCTTGAGACGTTTGTATCCGGGCTTGCACAGGGCGCAGCTGGAGACTACATGGCTTGGCTCCCCGGAAGACCCTGAGGGGATAGAAAGGCTGGTTCTCAAAATCAAGCAACAAAAAAATTGTTTTCCTAGGCCTCATGTTCGTCAACGTTTTCCGAAGGCAACGTAGCTTTACATGAAGATAAGGGTTCCAACGGTCCCAGGGAAGATGGACCAGTCAGCGCCCACCGACTTCGGCTTCCTCATGGAACACGTCTCCCAGGTACAGAAGCAGCTCGTAGGTTGCACAGCTTCTCTGTTTGCTTCGAAGGCAAAGCTTCATCTGAAATACTCTTTAAAAGGGAGCCAAACCGGACCAGCACCCAGACGATGTTCGGCTTAGATGTAGTTGAGATTGATTGTTGCAATCCGCAAATTCGGAGGCGCAAAGCTTGCGCTTTTCACACCCATATGACAATACTTGTTGTATTGCGATCATGGCAATAGTTGTCTGTTTGCGACTGAGGGTTCCCATCCTCAGATAGAGATAGTGTCTGGTATTGGGGTTGATGCTAAAGGCATCCCCGGGTGGCGGCACGCTGGTTCAGGATTCTCATGGTGCCTGTCGCTGTATGGAGTCCTGTAATTCGTAATGTGCCTTGTCTTCATATTCCTTGCTATTGTCAGAGGTGCTGGTGCTGTTCTTGTTGTTGTTGTTGCTGCTGTCGCTGTTGCTGCTGCCGCCCTTTCTGTTGCTGTTGTGGTTGCGGGCATGACAGCCACGGCATCTTTCGTCCGCTGGCCATGCATGTTCCAGAAATGCTTGTCCTTCGAAGGAGACGCCCAAAAAGAAGTAGCCGATCTGAAGCGCATGGAGGCAGTCCGAGCCTGAGCATGTTGGTATGCTATTTATATAGTAGTTGTGTTTGCATGCATCAGCACCTACCTAGCTGCCTGCCCTACCTATCTGCCTGCCTACCTACGCACATTCATGCGTGCATACAGGCCTGCGTAGATATGACATACATGCATAGCGACCAAGGATGTATGCACATACATGCAGACAGACATACAGCTACATGACAGTATTGCAGCATATGGAAGGAGAGAGAGAGAGTGTGTGTGTGAGAGAGAGAGAGAGAGAGAGTGAGAGTGCATGTGCGTGTGCACATTCACTGATATAGATGAAACAAAGTACAAGTGAGTAAAAACAAATGTTTCTGTTGGTGTCCGTGAAAAAAACTTTATATATATACACAGAAACGGCAGCCCCGCTCCAGTGTGCCCACGCTTCTGTTGCGTATCCAGAGATGGAAGGAGCTCTTACTCTCTGGTGCTTGGTAAAAAAAAGTTGCAGAGCACGTCCTGGTGCCGGAAAAAGTTTTGGGGCTGTGGCGCAGCGTCTTTCGGACAATACGCACTGCCAAAGCCTCAGGAAGACAAAGCACACCATCCGGGAAAATCAAAAACATGGCACTGTACCGTCCAAAAAAAGCCTTGGGCGACCACTCAGCATGCAGTTGGTTGCTTTTGGACAGTGTCGCATCTTGTCGTGTTTGGGAATGGCTTTCGGGAGACACCACAGTGTTTTCACGCCCTGTCGAATTGAAAATGTTATTCCGCCCACGTATGTTTTGCAACTGTACACTGCGGCCGGGTTTGCGTTTTGGGACAGTGCAGCGTGTTCACTTCCTGAGGCTTCGAATGCGCACCATCTCAAGAGGGCAAATGTTGCTTCGAGACAACATGCCGTTTGCTTGTTGCGCAACCAAAAATATGGCAGTGTCCCGACAACCAATCCATAAGGGCCAACGTGCCATACGATCACAAAGACCAATTTTGCTGGATTTTGGTACGGCGGTTTGGGATATGTTTTTTCTGACAGATTTCCTGAAGCTTCCAAAGTGCCGAACTGTCACCAACAACAGCCAATCCCGGAAAGCCGCTGCTTTCCCCCAAGAAGAGGGATGGGCTGGCAAGGTTTCCATCGAACTGGGTGTAGCATGCATGCGACATACACCGCATGCTGCCTTTCGACTGTCCACCCACCGCTGGTATCTACAATTGTGGCTAGAAACATGCCCTGAATGCCTGTAAGAGCCGGTCTTTCTTGTGATAAGAGGCAACAGAGCTCCTGTGGTGCGGGCATTCCTGTGGGCGCTCCTGCAGAGTCCTCAAACTCAAACGCGTACTTTGCGTCGCGAATGTGGTTGGGTGCTCACTCAAACATGAAGTGCGGTGGGCACGAAGTGGGGGTAGCAAAGTTGGGAAAATAGATAGGTAGATGCACAGATAGATCGGTTATTCATTTATGTACTGCTAAGATGAAAAAGCTACAGTCCGTAGTAGGGCTGCTAACCACAATACCTGTATTTCGTGCGCTTCCTCACGTGGCTTTAGGTGTGCTCTGCTGTGCTGACATTGCCAAACTTTCTCCGAATAATAACAGAGCTTTGTTGATTGTTGTTGGTCTTTCTTGATGGTGATGTCACGAAAGTGCAGTTTACGACGGTAGTGCGTAAGCCATCGCTGTCAGAACTTGTCATTGCTGTTTATGTTCCGCTCCGAAGCCGACTGCAGCAATGACATGAACACTGGCACACGTTTGATGTGAATGTCTCGCAGCAGTTGCGTCATTAAGTCAGTACAGTACGTTATTGTTGCATTGTGTTCGCTGCTGTCTATGCACACCCTCGATTTGTGTACATGCATATACGCTGTAATGTTGAACATCCATACCCGAAGATTGTTAGTGTTTGCACATATTGATATGACGTATGTAGACGGCTGCAGATTTGCTGCCGGGCAGTGCTAGCTTGCCCCTGTGCAGCTCCAGAATAGGACGGGCTTTGTCTGAACGGCGACATACTGCGGGGCTGGACCGATGCATGCGTACATCTGCGATTAAGCTGTTTCACCTGAGCTTGTGCACAGCTAGCGCCCCTGCAGATCCAAGAAGACTCTCGGGGACTGAAACAATGTGGCCCCAAGGCTTGAATACTGAACCTCACTGTTTCACCGGGTGATGCTTCTACACTGACTGGCCCCACTGAAGTGGTCTAGATTTCTTCTTCCGACAAATGAGGTTACACAGTTGGGCTCAAGTTGTCTCCTTGAGGCAATGGTTACAAGTTTGGGGGACCCTAAACCGAAACCTTTTTTCTCGAAAACAGCGAAGTGAGGCTGTGACATGTTCCCCCCCAAGCTGGCAATGCTCGATGTCTCAAGCATGGCCCTTTGGATCCAATGCTGCACCGCTGCACGTCCCATGTCTTTCTTTGTGCTTTTGCTTCGGCTCAAGACCCAAAAAGTACCTCGGCGGATAGGGACGCTCTGCACAGACCGCCGAGAGACACCCCGAAAGCGGGCGTGCCTTTCGGAGGCATCCTAAAATCCTTAAAGCCCGAAGTGAAGCTTGGGTCCTGCTTGTTTCATGCCTTGAGGTTTCCGGGTCCCAGGTCAGCTTCATCAAGCACGGCTTCAGAGACTGAGTGTTGACGGCCGTGTCAGGATCTTTGGCGAAGACCATTCCGACGGGTCGGCTTTCCTTCAGTGGTTCCGAAGGCAGATCTCCTCACCTGTCGTGCTCAGAGCGCCATGGCCCGGCTTGGTCCCCGCGCCTCTTTCCAGACTGCAAGCTCACTGGGCTCCGAGGTGGACTCGCAGGTGCAGGGGGCTACAGTTGCTTCGGATGTCCGGGTTGACACTTTCACGGCAGTGGGCCCCTTTGCGTGCCGAAGGCCCAAGGCAACTGCTGTCCTAAATCCCTTATCTCCTCCAAAAAAGCAGGTCGAGTTCATCTCTTTGGCGCTGGAACGACCTAATAGCCCATCTTCGGGCACGCGCCTGGGGCCTGCTTGGGATTTGCTATGTGGGTGTGGGGATTCTACCTTTGACAGCTTGAGGTCTCAGGGGGTTGTTTTAATTGGGGGGATAGATCTGCGGGCATGAGGATGTATGGACGGTTTGTGCCTGGCGAGGCCTTAGTGTCGAAATGACATGTGCACAAGGTGCAGCAGTTCGGGTTGAAAGAGGCTTCTCTCTTGTTGTTTGGGTTGGGTGGGTGGGTGGGGTGTGGTGTCATCTTCATCCTGTCGGTAGAGACAATCCCGGAATTTTACGAAGCCCAAGCCGGGCTCAAAGCCTGTGACCAAGGGCATTGAGCACGCACTGCGAAACGCAAGTCTGCAATGTGCAGCTGCTGGACGAGGAAGATATCTACTTCCGCGTCAATCTGAGAGATGCGGAGTCGCTTGGAGAGCTTAGCTTCGGAGTTTCTAATCCAGGGATGCACGGTGTGCATTTAAAGTTTTGGGTTTCGAGAGGGCTCATGTTGCAGGATGTCTGGAGCAATGAAAACCCTGAAGCCCGAGGGCTCCCTCTACCTCATTCACCCTGATCATGGTATGATACCAGCTCTTCAGAGCATGGGGGGTTTGAAAGCTGCTGGGCTTTCCGAGTCTGACTCTAGACTCACTTCCGCTGTCTGGGTTTTTGTTGTCTGTTGTCCTTGTTGTGGGAATGTTGCTCCAGAACGACATGAGAAAGTCTCCATAAGCTGGGCCCCTGATAATGGCGAAATGCGACATGAGGATGAGGCCTATTCCCATGTTGGTCACGAGATCCACAGAGACGCAGACTGACTGCTTCGACGCAGGGACCCGGACCGAAGCGACACAGTTTCTCGCGAAAGGGTAATTGGGATCGTTTTATTGGAGTTTGCAGGCGGTCTAGTAAACGTCCCCCGAATCATATTGGGAGTTTTCTTTTGTAGAATTAGTGCAAATTTAGGGGAAATCTGTGTTTCGAAAGCTGAAGTGAATTGAGCAACTAAAGCCTAAACCAGATAAGCTGGAAGCCCGACGCCGGAAGAAACTAAGGACAGAATTGGAGGCATGGAGCCCTCTTGCAGAGGTCACCACAGCCACCGCCGACCCATGTGGCTTTGCAGAGTCAGGAGACGCAGCTGCCGGATGCGTCGCCTTCCCGGATGAGGCCGAGGAGATCTTCACAAAGGTGGAGGCGGAGCCAGGCGAAGAGGCAGAAGGATGGGATGGAAGTCCAGGGAGCGATGGCCTTCGAGCTGATGAAGACGAGGTGACAGTGGCAGAAAATGTGGAGGCCGACGATGGCCCATCTCCTGACGACATGTTGGTGCAGACGTCGCTTGTGACCCACATGGAGGAGACAGCTCCGAAAGCTGTAGCACTTAACTGGACCGTAATCTGGCTCATGGAACCACGATCTAGTTATCAACTTTGTGATACAGTCGTGGATCGCATTGCCAATGCTATGCCTCTATGCTTACGAGTAGTACTAAAAGCCACTATGATTTCTGGATGAGAGAGAGAGAGAGAGAGAGAGAGAGAGAGAGAGAGAGAGAGAGAGAGAGGCTTTCGTGACCCTTTGGGCTCATGCCCCAGAGCAAAGCAAAGGAGAGAGAGAGAGAGAGACAGAGAGAGGGGGAGGGGGCGAGGGAGAGAGAGAGAGAGAGAGAGAGAGAGTGTGTGTGTGAGTGAATGAGTGAGTGGGTGGTTGGATTGAGTTGAGTTAAGTTGGCAGGTGAGTGAGTAAGTGATGGGGTTTGAGTTGAGTTGAGTTGTGGAGTTGAGTGTGTGAGTGTGTGCCAAGCATGGCTGCAACGGAGGAGACCATGCTTGCGCATGATGCGGCTGCCCAAGCGGCTCTCGCGGGTCACGTGGAAGAGTCGACGGAAGCTCGGGAGATAGCTGTTTGACCGCAGAGAGGGTCGTTGTCATAGCCGCGATGGGCTCGGGTTTAGGGTTGGAGCTTGCAGGGGGAGAGTGTAGCTATTGAATCCCAGGCGGCGTAGGTTGCCCAGGCAAGCGCATGATTTGGCTAACCCATGCTGCTCCTGAACTGGGCATGTGGCAGAAGGAAGCCATCCGAGCAAGAGCTCGGCCGGGACAGAAAGCTTTCGACGAGACGGTGTGTAACCGTTGCAGAAAAGCCCTCAGCCGGGCCGTGACGGTGCCGCCCTGCTCAGGTCCGGACGGCGGCTTTGGAGCACGTCGAAGAGACCCGGCGGGATCGGGAGGAGGAGGAGCTGAGGCTGCAACGGCCCTCGTCTCAGCTCACCCTTTCCGATGCTGAAGCTCCCATGGGGCTTCTTGGCGCCGAATCACTGCATGAATGCAAGCATTTGTGAACTACGAAACTGCCTCAACCTTTTCACGCCTCGCTGCAGAAAGATGTGAGGCTTCCAGCTCCGGAGGAGCCGTCAGAAGCAGAGGCAGAAGCGGACGTGACCGATGTGATGGAGGAGCACCCCAAATACCACCGCCTTAACCTCAACCCTAACCCTGAACCCAAACCCCGAGCGCATGCTCGCGATCCCACGTGCCTCCCCCCTGTATCTAACCTAAGCACCCAAAGCACTTCAGGGCCTTGCGGGTGGGGGACGCTTGGTACCTTTGAGCCGTCTTAATTAATGCTGTCTGCAGGATCCGAAAAGCCTGATGCACCTAACCGTCTTAACCGCAATGCTTCGGGTCAGCGAGGCCCACAACCGGGAGATTGCGCCGCAGGCGGACACACAGGACAGGCCTCCCATGGTTACGGCCGCTATAGTCCAAGCCCATTTCACGGAAATCTCCTCGAGGACGAAGAGCTGGAGGCCTGGCGCTTACGGGTCCAGCTCATGATGCTTCAGGAGGCGGCCGCCTCTTGCATCTGGGACTTTCAGCTGGTTTCGGGATCGGTGCTCTTATGAACCTGCGTTCTGGGGTTCTGGAGATCAGCCTTGGTGTTTAGGGATCTGGCGATGCACTGTACTGTAGCGTTGTAGGTAGAAAGTTTATTCACTGACGAAGGCCTCGGAGCTGAGGCATCCCAGCGAAGATGAGCCCTCGAGAACTTGTCCGCACTCTCGGAATGGCCATGGCAGACTCGCCCTCCTTTGCGCAGGCTCAGAAGGGCTTTGGGCCTGGACGTATTGCCATGCAAGCGGTCTCTGAAGTTCCATGTTCCCGAGAACCTGCCTTACAGCAGATACACGATGACTTAGAGTCGGTTTGGACTGCAGCACAGTGTCCGAGCTTCTGTGCTTCATCTCTTTGCGCGCATGTCTCGAGGCCTGTTCAGACCCTATCTAAGCCGTGTGTGCCCGAGAGTGCCCTACAAGGCTTCGCCGGAAGACGTCACCCACCCCAGCTCGCGCGGCTCGCTCCTTGCGGCGGGGCCGCAAAATGTGAAGCCTGGAGCTCCAGGAGTTGTTGAGGCAAGTACCCACCCACCCCCCCCCCCTCTCCGGCGAGGCGAACCCTGAAAGGCGACGCAACTTGCATTTATATGTTTCACAGTTCCAGAGCCCAGAGCTATTGGTTCTCGCTTATCGTGTTTGTTTGTTTGTAGACGATGGGCAATGGCGGCGATCATGTCAACGGTACACAGTGACTTCCCCCTTCTTCCACACGATGAAGATGGTCGCATGCATCCCCTCCCAGTCCCAGAGCCAGCAATGCACAAAGTGAAGCGCGAGTTGGCGATTTCCTCCTCCTACTCCTACTCCTACTCCAACTATTTCAACTACTCGTACTACTACTTCTACTACTTCTACTTCTACTACTTCTACTACTACTACTACTACTACTACTACTACTTCTTCTACTACTACTACTACTACTACTACCGCCACTAACTACCACCACTACCAATACCACGACCAATGCCACGACCACTACCACCGCTACTGCTACTCCTCCTCCTGTTGCTGCTGCTATCACTCCTGCTCCTAGTACTCACTAGTACGACCTGCTACTACGACTACACCTACAATACTCAAACATACACAAGCTCTTTCCCTGGTCTCGTGGAGCCTTCTGTGTGTGCGTGTGCGTGCGCGTGTGTGATACCCAACTGCTCGCTGTTTTTGAACGGTCGTTGTTTACGCGTGTTTCTCGCAACCATAGTTTGCGGGCCGCATCTCTACCGCCTCCGCCTACGGAGCCAGACTTCAGCTCATTGCTTCGGTGTAGTATGGCAGCCTCACCCGTTCTTGCTCCTCCATGATGTCGCCTGGAGTCTAAAGAGGCGAGGGTGGTTCGAGAAACATCGTATGTTGAAACTGCTTCTGTCTACCTTCTGTCGCTCAGTAGACCGCCGGATTCGCACTAGAGTGGCCTAAGTGCCCGAAGGTCCTGTCCCTATCCAGCCGTGAATCCCTGAATGTCGACTGAGGCGGAGGGACTAATGACACCGCCATCACCGCCAGCTCCCTCTTCGGCGCGGTCTCGTCCTTCCGAGGCTTCCGGGGTCCCGCTTCGGTGCTCCGCTCTGCTTCTCGGCCGGCACAGTCCAGCAGGCGGCCCTTGCTGCGTTTATGCTGTAACCGTAACCCATACCTTAGAAGCCTTGTTGTAGCTCCTTTTACGTCTTTGCGTTTCCCGACTGTCTTACAAAAGGAACCTATCTAGAAACGTTGTCCGCAAACAGCTGCTTCAATTCAGGGGCTGGCAGGGCTCCTCGAGGGTTCAGGCTTTCAGAGGTCACGATAAGTTTCAAGAACACAAACTCAACGATTTGTTCCGGGGTTCTCACGAATGCAATGCTGCACGATTTGTCATACTGGCATCCAGCGCACTTTACACAGAAGGAACGGCCTGTGAAGGATAGTTCTTGTTGTTGGGATGATTCTTGCATGGTTGCTGTTTAGAGTCCAGAGCGAGCTGAAGTTAAACTCTTCGTATGTCGAATCGTCAATTTTTTCACATACCATGGTTTAGAATCAGATGTTTCAAGTTAGGGCTGTTTCACTAGACACGTTTGCACTTCCTTCTACAATGTCACATATACTAAACCCTATATGCTGCAGCATGGACAAACCTAAATTGCCGACCTCCTTGCAATGACACAGGTTCGACGACAAGGAGTTTTCTCCAAAGAAGGTGCACCCGGTGCCGCCCCTGGACTTCAGTCGGGTCTACATGGGCGATGCCGACACGGACCTGCAAGCACATGCCATGTTGCTTTTTGTCAGAGTTTCCGTTTTGGGTTCAACATTCGGGAGCGGCTGGCACTGCCAAACTGCCGAACACTGGAACACCAGTTTGAACCAAGTTCTGCTTTACAAAGAAGCTCAAAGTGAGCGATGTACGGCGAAGGAATAGTGGTCACTGGGTATTTTCTTCCGAAAGCCCTAAAGCCTGCAAGCTCCCAGTCGTGACCTGTGCAAATTTGTCTCCCCATGCAAGGAAGAATTGAAGCGCTGACACATGTAGATGTCCGTGAAATCTCCCTGCAGGCTTCTCTTTGCTTGCAGGATGACGCTTTGAAGCCTTGTGAATCAAGCGGGAGGCGAAACATCCGCTGTCAAGGTTTGCTTCAGTCGATTTTGTCGATGGTGTGTCCTCGACAGTTGAGAGACTGTGCCGCATGGCGGATGTTTGAGCCTGACGCACGAGCCTGTGACGATCATTGATGACTGCGCATTGGTGAGGTGACCCAGGCATAAGGGCATCAAGGTCTTGTCTCCTGGGTCCACCAAGCCCCAGCTGCAGGATTTTGGTGACTACGAGGGTGCAGACTCCACCTGGATGACGCACGGACGCTCCCTTACTCCCACGACTTCTTCCTCCTCGCATCCTGGCTCAGGGCTCTGCCGGGTAATCTTGCGCAAGGTTCGGCTATCTTAGCATGGTTCCGGCTCTTGCTTTGCGTTGTCTGGGTTTTTCTACGCGCAGGTCGTGTTGCTCCAGGTCTTGCGTTTCTTTTCGGCTACTGTTCAGCGCTCCCTTTCCGGAAGCAACATTTCCGACACCATGAGCCCTCGAAGTGTCGGACAACAGAGATGCTTCCACATCAAGTTTAGGGCCTGAAGCCTTACTGTAACGATGGTGCGTTAGCCCTGACCTAACATGCTGGGCACCCTCAACGTCGCCCACGCCCCGGACATATCGAAGAAGAACAAGAAGCGGAAGACCCGAACCAATAGGATCTTCAGTTCTGCCTCACAAAGTATGGCCCACAAAGCCCGATCGCAGCGGTTCGAGCCATTCTATGACTTGATCTGACACCGTAGTCGTACACCAGTGAAATTCTCCCGATGTAATCAGCAGGTCGAAGCTTGTAGGAGTACGGTCTGCAGAGAGTTCAGGGTTGGAGGCTGAGGGCTTTCATCCCTGGTAGTTGCCGAGGCGTCTGAGCAAGTCAACATCGGATGGCAGGCTCTTGCAAGCCTCCGTCTTCTCCTGTGCCCCAGCGGATCTCCAGGCCCAGGCCTCACCGGAGGCGACCGAGACCTGAGCTCAGGTTCTAAGGTTCTCCACTTCACTTGCTTTTTCTGCTACAGGGGCTTCACGAGTACCGGTTTCGGCCTCCAAGCCTCCCCTGGTTGCCAAAATGCATAGCAAAGGCGATGTTGTTGGCTGCCCCTCTTGAATTCTTTTTATAAGCTCAACTCACGCAGGGATCCGAAGCCAAGGGGCTCCTTCGGCTTCGGCTCCCAAGGGATCAGAGCTCCTTTGGGGGGTCCCCGGGTTCTCTGCTCGTCCTGTCACGTGGACGTGGAAGAAGTGTAAGCCCCCGGAACTGCTCCCCACACAATGCATCTGCAGGAGAAGTATCGCAGATTTGTGGGCAAGATCCGTGCGAAGCATCTGCTACCTCCACGAACGTCGCCTTTTGCCAAGCCACAAGTCCTCGCCCCAATCACTTACAAGGCGCGGCCGGGGTTACCGTCGTGAGCGGTTCAGGGTGTAGTTGGGGCTTCGTACTGAAAAAGCTTGCAGTTGCACAGTTGCAGAGGCAGAGTACTCATGAAAGGTTTGAGGCCCTGCTACCGGAAAGCCCGCTGAAGAACAGGCTGGTGGAGCCTTTGGAAACAAGGCAAAGAAGGTCGCAGCGAGGGCTTTGCCCGCCACTCCTTTCATGGAACAGTTGCATTCGCACTTCCACCATCATTTCCACTTTCGAAATAATCTGCCGCCAATTTCTCATAGCGTCGACTTTGAGACAGGTGCAAGCACCGACTCCTTTTAGGTGATGTCCAGTCTCACCCATTCACTTGGAGATCCGTCGCAGCTTTCCAGAATTTCAGGCCCAAAAATGGTGCAAGCTACCCCGATTATTCAACCCCATCTTCTGAGCATTATCGCGAAGCATGGAGTCATATTCGGTCTTATGGCCTGCCAAAGTTGAATCTGATTTGGCTTATACCAAGCACTGACACTTTACACACCTGGCCTGCGCATTTGCTGGGCCCACCGACGCTGAAAGCGCCAGTATGCCCAAAGTGGAGAAATCTGCTGTGGCGGCGACGGAAACATCGCGCGTCACTTCCATTCGGAGACTTCTTTCATCCTTGCTTCGGAGGGACCTGCAGGGACCACCTCAGGCCGGCTCTTTGTCCTGTATGTGTCCTTCGATGCGGGCCTCTAAGATTGGAAGGTCCGGTACATGAAAGCCGACAGCCCCCGTCACAGCTTGAGCCGAGCCGGAAACCGTCACAAAACAAAAGCCGGAAACCATCTCCTGAGCCCGAAAAAAATAACAGGCTGGGCTGCTGTGGGGAGGAGTGGGCACGAGTTAGAGAAGAAGCTTAGGGTTAATGAAACATGATCAGTGCAAACTCCTGCTCTCTGAGGCCTTGATCCATGCAGGATGCTGCTACTCGCATGTTGGTTTCATTAGGTGCCGCGCAGGACTTGTCGCACCCGCATCATGATGCGGAACAGCTCCCAGAGTCGAAGATCTCCGAAGCCTTCAGCCCTGACGTCCAAAACTAGAGCTACTAACTTAAACCCCAGGCGGGAGGCAAAAAAAAACTTAAACCCCAAACTCCAAAACTCTCGAGCCTGATTAGATCCAACACCCCAAAATAACTCCAAGAATCAGGTCATTCTCGACTGACTGAGCCGAACGGGGGCGGCCGGGAGCATGGAAGGAGCACTCAAAATGCTCAAGGTTCAGAGTTCTTAGGTGTATGTGATCTTTAGAGGACGGGCAAACCCGGTTGGCACCGCACCCTTCTTGCTGTAAGAGGAGCAGGTATCTCAGGTGTGTCCAGGAAAACAGGTGAGTTTGGGTCAACTATGTGTATTCGTATTTTGTACACGAACGTGCTCGGCACCAAGTTCGGATATCCAATTCCATGGTAGCTTCTCATCGTAAATGAAGAGGCCTAGTGTCATGCTGAACAGCAATACATCTAAGGATGGCAACGCTAGACCATCCACGAACCACGTTGTGAGAAAATATGAGTTTAGGTAGAAACAGCAAGCAGCATTGTCATCCCATATACATAGGGGCTCATTGCATATATGACAGCTCCTTCTTCGTTTCTCAACTGCGTCGAGTGCGCATGCCAAAAACTCTTCAAAGCACGCTACTTCGCTGATGTTCGTTTGTTTGAAGCAGTGCTCGTGTAAAGCAATAATACCGATGTAATGTGACTTATTAGCTAGAAGCTAAAACGAAAATGATATCCGCTTAGCACTTACATTGGGGTCAAAATTCTGCCTCTGTGTTACAAGCAGTGATGCAACTCGTACTTGCTGACATGTTTGTTTATTATCTCATACCTTATACGCAAGTAGTATTCGCTTAGCGCTTAACAATTACATAGCAGGTGTGTTCTGCCTGTGTTACAAATTGTTATGCAACTCGTACTTGCTGACATGTTTGTTTATTATCTCATACCTTATACGCAAGTAGTATTCGCTTAGCGCTTAACAATTACATAGCAGGTGTGTTCTGCCTGTGTTACAAATTGTTATGCAACTCGTACTTGGTGACGTGCTTGTTTGCTTTCTGCCTACTGGTCCACATGTAAGTACATAACTGTGTCTGTGAACCATCTTGTCTTGCCTGTGCTGCAAACAAAATCGCTTTCAAGCGAGAATGTTTTCTTCAAACAGGGGCTGTGTTTTAAACTGGGCGATGGAACGCAACTATATTTGTAAGGAGGGTTGTAGCAAAGCGCTGACAACTCTAGATTCTATACTACGGTCTCTCAATGCCTGATTGCTCCAAGTATTTTGAAGTTTAGTGTTTGAGATGTGTGGGTTTGGGTCTTGAAGACGTTAGGGCCTATAGCTTGAAGTTCAAAACCCGTCAATGCCGCACAAGCTGAGAAGTGGTCATGACCCGTCATAGCCCAATAGGTAATTAAAAGCTTTGGTTTTGAGTGCTCCGAGGGGGATGGCTCCTTGTGCTGACAGGGGGACCGGGCGTTTGGGGGTGGTTGCAATCTAGATGCACTTTTGGCTTGAGTTGCATGTTGTTTTCGCTTTGAGTGTTTCGGGTGTGGCTTCGGCTCAGCTTGCCTTTCCAGACATAGACATGGGCCTTAGCATGAGGAAAAGGCCAACCAGCGGAGTCTGAGGTTGTGGCGTATCGTACTCTTGGGTTTTCGCACTCGACTCTCAAATCGCGTGCGTTAAAGAACTTTCCCGGCATGCAAACGGCCCGCTCTCAGGCTCAGCAGACACAAGTAATTAGCACCACACGAGCCGCAGTATCAAGTAGCCTCGCAGAAATTGCCAATGTGTGCAATGTTTGTCGAATCACAATAAAGACCCCTGTAAGGCTCACCTGGCCCCAAAATTCAAGGCGTACTCAGCCCTGCACTAGTACTGTAAAAGACGGCTTGCGGTTTCCAGTAGAATGCCTTATACCAGCATACTCGAACTGGCAGGACGGCCCTTGACATGTTTGCAGAGATCACAGTTCAAAGTCACGAGCCTCATGCGTGAACTGTTGTTCTTCTGGGTTATGACCAAGCCGTACCAAGCCCCCAAACCAAGGGCAGAGAGCTCTTAGAGTTAGCTGCACCAGCTGCTGTCAGCGAGAGCGGACAAAAACGGTCAGACCCGAGCTCTTGAGCTTTGGAGATCCGTGTCACTCGCTTGTGTCAGTTGCTCGCCATTTGGCGGGCCCTAAAGCGTAGCCCCTCAAGCGTACCCGTGCACTGCGATCTTCACCCGTGTACGGAAACAGCTCTAAACACACGTCGCGGACTGTCGACTTTAGGAAAGTGTGGAAGCCCGCCCCGCCGCTTGCAGTTTGTGCTCTAGACGATTCGCATTCGAATCGTTTTTGCGGCGTGGGCCGCGACCGCCTGAGCAATGAAGACAGTGCCGCCTGGCTGCCAAGGTTCCAACATGCGCCCCTGATCCTTAGTCGGTAGGCCAGGACATAGGAAAGACTTGGCAGCAAGTACGGTTTCGGACGGTGTTTAGAGTATATAAGGCTCACAGCCGTAAGGCCGCATGTGGCCAGGAGGGGCACCACAGGAGGAGGTGACTGACGCAAGACCTGCCACTGTCCGGCGCTTTGATATATTGCATATCGAGAACCATATCTGAAGACCGACTACAAAGGAAAGATACGAAGCTTCTAGTCATTGTCCTATTGGGCAAGCGGATTGGAGAGTCGATGCAAGAGTGGCAACATGGGAAAATTCTTCAAGCAGGAGCGCTCTGTTACCGGTGCAAAGCCAAAATTAACAATAATACTACTACTGCAATAATAAATATAGCAATAGTAATAAGAATAATAAACCAACCCCACGCCGGATCTTGAGCTTATCTCAGCGCACTACCGTGGATTGCGCATAGCGCCTGAAGCCGTCGGCCAAGCGATGCGTCGAACTTTCACGGGGTTCACGCTTAAGGTTTAGAGCCCAAGCGCAGGTTCATCTTCCTGCATCTGGGTCTCCAGCAGCTGGTGTTGGCCAGCAAGCTGCTGCACGTGTCGCTCGGATTGGGCTTGCGGTTCGAAGCAGGGGATTTGGCGTTGGGTCAGGGTCAAAGGATTAGTTTCAGGTTGGGGTGCAGGCTTTGTCGTTTTGGGGAGTATGCGGAAGGTCTGGACACTCGTGGAGCACATTTCAAGAAGCTCCAACATGATCCAAACCGAGTAGGCACTAGGAACATGCAGGGCCGCCAAGCATGTTGGATATCCCGAAACGCGAAACACTGGACCCAACACCCTACTAGACCCCAGAGCCCCGAGGCGTGACATGATGTGGGGTGGTTTAGTTGGTATTTGTGTTGGCGTTCGTTGCCGAAACGGCCGGTCTTAGGTACAGAGATCTATGGATCGTGAAGCCTTGCCCCGAAACCTTGAATCCAAGACCCTAAACCCAAAAATCAGTGTTTTTACATTGGAGCAGTTTTGTGTGACAGGTATAGAGGTCTGCCCAGCCTATGCAGAGGGGACGAAGAATGGGATATAGAGTACGGGGTGTGGAAGCATTGTGGTGTGGTGGTTGAATCCCTTCTGTGGAATACCTTCGTCCCCACTCCCTCAACCGGTACGGTAGTCTGGATGCCGCAAGGTGAAAAGACACGATGGTCAAAAAAACGAAAGCCATGACACCCATCACCTTTTCGTACGGCTTCTAATGCACGTGCCGACCCTCGGGGTGAAGGCAATGTCATATGAGTCAGGACTGTCCAGAGGGAGTCTATTGCGCGTGGGGCTCGCCGAGGATGGCAAAAGCGACTCCATGCAGGTGAGGCAACCGATTGGGAGCTGCACAGCTCACATCCCGCCTGACTTCCTGACCTCCCTGTCCTTTCTCGATGGTCGCCTCACAGGCACCCTTCCTGCCAACTTCGCCTCAGTTCTTTGCGAATTCTGGACCTCTCCATGAACCAACTTTCGGAGCCACTCCCGGCTGCAATCGGCTTCTATCCCTAACCACCCTTTTTCTTTGCGCGAAACTTTCGAGAGGCTTCCATGGCCTCCTTAGCTTTTCTCGCAGGCAACTTTCTGGGACCCTCACAGAGCGGCTGCCGGGGGAGGGCGGTGTAACGCACAAGAGCAACTTCGAAGGTCCCCTCCCAAGCTTCTTGGACAGTGCGGCAACCATGAGGCTGTCCTTTCTGCACGGCAACCGATTCTGTGGACCTCGTCCTCGAAGCCTGGGAAAGGTCACACAACTACGCAGCCTCACGCCGCGTGACGCTGTTCGGCGGCTCAAGCTGCTAGATGAAGGTAGAACACGACTCTTACAAAAAAACAGACTCAGATGT